TCAAACTATTACTACTTACTGTTTTTGTGCAGCTTCATCAAGCAGCAGAATTGCAGTTTGATGTGTTCCTGCTCTGATGAGGCTTTCAACCCAGTGTGTGGTTCTGATGGTGTGGAGTTTCGCTCTCCTTGTCACGCTGGCTGCAAAACAGGAATTGAGAAACTGGTAAATTTGCTATATTGTTGTCAGTTTCTTTGTTTCAGTCGACTTGATGACATATTCCACAGGCCTTCATTCACAGGACATTTAGTTGCTTTGTAGAAAGCCTGGTCCACATGAACTTCAAAAATGAATCCAATATTAATCTCTCAGAAAGTCAGTTTAGTCCCACATTCATAAGGATAATCATATTTCAGTGTATTTACCTCCAGTTTGAAGAGTGTACTGAATACATTAAAATTTTAAGATATCCATTTTTGGAAGTCTTCTAGTGGGGTATTTTGGGTCTTTAAGGGGATAGTTTTTACCTATCAGCTGTGTCTGGCTTTTCCATCTTGCACTGCATCGATTTCTAGACTCTGACTTCACCATGACTGTGCATGTAATTTGTTATGAGACAGACACCATGTCTGATTGGTTTAGTAATATTTGCTTCTTATTTGTATAATGTTGAGAAATCCTCAACATTTTTCTGCGGTGATCACTGGCTTCATATCACTCCTCTGCACAGTTTTTTTTTTTACTGTTGCCATAGAAAATAAATATTTTTGATGCAAAGTGAATTTACTGTAAAAGTCTGGATAAGGAGGAGTCTCTGCCTTCCTGTGAGTTTCCTGCTTTTCTTTTTTATTCGATTCAGGAACCAACAGAAAGTAACCATTCTTCCACTACCATTCAGGTAAATTTCAACCAAAATCACTCACTATGTCTTTAATACACCAACTCCAATAGTATAAAAATATATTTATTTGCATATACATTTATAGTAAAATTGGCTTACACCAAAACTTTGTTTAGCCATGATTTTCTTCAACTGGGTAAACATACTACAATAGTTACAATTTTGCTTGTTAGGGTGCACAATTTTTTTTTTTTTTGCAGAAAACATTTCCAAACCATGGCAGTCTGTAACTCAGTTTTTTCACAAATTGTTTAACTTTTTTTTAGGAATTACTGATTTGTGATTTGTTCATAGATGTTTTTCTGAGACTATTTGGAACAGTGCCGGTGTTTATTAATTTTCAGGAGAAGCACTGAGTTTAGATAAACCTTCTGAACTGTAGTGCACATAATATATCAACCTCCCCCACATCCCAGCCAAACCTTCAGCAATAGTTATTTATCCAGAAAATGAAAAGAAACACATGTATCCAAAAGGCAATTAACAGTGACTAATCCAAGCAAACATTGTACACATTGGACTACCACTTAATCAGTAATTAATGTGATTCTCTCTTTTACAAAGTGTACTGTCACAGCCTTGCCTGTACTCTGTGTGTTTTACACCATAATGTTGGTCGTGTAATTTGTATGTAAACCATAAAACTAGACAGATAAAGACTGGAATAACATTGTTCAGCTTGGGATCCTGTGCTCAGTGTAGCATCAGATCTCTGTTCTTGGCTGACAGGAGTGGAACCCAATGTGGTCTTCTCCTGTTGTAGCCCATCCACCTCAAGGTTTGACGTGTTGTGCATTGTGAGATGTTTTTCTTCTCACCACAGTTGTAAAAAGTGTTTATTTGAGTTACCATAGACTTCTTGTCAGCTCGGACCAGTCTGACCATTCTCCTCTGGCCTCTCTCATCGACAAGGCATTTCTGCCCACAGAACCAGTGCTGGATGTTTTTTGTTTTTCGCACCATTCTCTAGGGAATGTTGTGTGTGAAAATCCCAGGATATCACAAGAAATACTCACCAACAATCATGCCCCTACATGATTGGCTGACTGAGTAACTGCATGAAAATGCAGGGCAGTTGAGTTTATTGAATTGAGTTGCCAAAGATTTATTATTATTTTTGTTATAGTGTTGAAGCGCCTGCAGGACAAATGCGATTTGTAGTCAGGGTGATTCAGCAAAGACATGTTTATTATTCCATGCCTCTAGTCTAACCTGTTCATTTTGACACAGTTGTCTGAACTAGTGCTCAGAAATCCACATAAACTATTTTTCTTCTACAGAACTACACAGACTGCGCTTGTGTGGGTCCAGGAGGATCTCAGGGTTACGCCGTACCAGGAACATGTGGGAACGGCTGCTTTCACCTCCTCATCCCTTTCATGGTTTTATCCTCGCTCACATGCTTCTTAGCGTCCCTCTCTCAGACACCATCGTTTATGATGATTCTCAGGTACGTACTTGTCCCTCACCATGTTTTTCATACATCATGTTTTATTAGCAAAATCGCACTGCATAAAAACAACTCATTAAAAAAGATTCATAACTTTAAAAAAAAATTGAAGGAACAAATGTGACCCATCGATGGGATGAGGAAGAGCAATCTGTTAAGATTAACTAAGGTGCAATGAAATAATCAGGCCAGTTGTATGCTTGGTGAAAAAATAAAAACAAAAGTAAGTATTGTTTCAGTTACATTTTTGTATATTTGTACATTTTACATATTCAACTATAATGACACACCCATAGTTGATTCCCACAAGTCCACAAAATTATTGAGTACATTGCATATCATTGCATAATTAGAGACTGAGAAACAAGTAATGCAGAAAAAGGAGAGTACTATTTGCCTGTAGTGTCCTGTGTTAGCTTATGATCCACAGAGAAACACCTGCATGTTAGTTCCTGCCTCAGGTGTTACTGTTTTACATAACTTTCACTGTTTTGCCCTAGTCTGTGTCAAACCTTTGGCACCAGCAGCTCAAGCCTTTTTTGGATCGGACTTTTTTTTGTTAAACAAACAACCACAAGGTTTCTTTCTAAATGAATAAGAATAGTGGACCATGACCAAAGCAAATGTGTTTAGCTTCAGACTGCAAGAATTTGTTTTTTAATTCAGCCAGTTTTTTTTAGATTCAAATAGGACTTTAGTTTTTACCATAAATGACTTTTCCAGGTTCTAGCTGTTGTTATGTTTTTACCCATATGTTGCTTTTATGCATTCAGAAAGTGCCTCCATGAGAACCGAGTAAAGGGGGGGGGGAAATACAACTGTTTCGCTTCACTTGAACTAGAACATGTTTGTGATTCATCATGGGAGCTCAGCATGCCCATACAGGCCTGAGATGAAAATTAGCCAAGAAACCACACACTCCTTACAAAAACAAATGAAACGAATGACACACATCAGCACTAAAGTCAGTGCTAAGGGAGGGATTTAATGCAACTAACCCCTTATAGAAAAATAATAATCACATGATTCACATATGAAATTTACACTTCACATTATGTTTTAAACATTTTTCACATCCAGGACATTTGTTTTTTGTTCATTATTTACACGTGATTGATTTAGTTTCACATGTGATTTTTCCAAGATACATTATTTTCCATGGGATTTTTACATGAAAAATATTTTACACTTGATTTTTACACAATTCATTATTTTCAAATGTGATCTTTACACATTTGAATGATTATTTGTCCACATGTGATTTTTACACACGATTAATTTTTCCATGTGATGTTTACATGATTCATTTATATTCATGTCATTTTTACACAATTAATTTTTTTTACTCATGTGGTTTTTATACATGATTCATTTTTCAAGGGTGAGCTTTACAAGATTCATTCTTTTCGTGTGATTTTTGCACACAATTCATTTATTTTCATGTGTGATTTTTTTACACTTCAGTTTCACATGTGATTTTTATACAATTCATTTATTTTTGGATGGATTTTACATGATCACATGAGATTTTACAGGATTCATTATTTTTCCATGTGATGCATACACATGATTCATTTATATTCATGTGACTTTTACATAGTTCTTTTATTTTTACATGATTAATTTTCACATGTGATTTTTTGATGACTTGTTTATTTTCACATGTGATTTTTATATTTGATTCATTCCTTTTTCAAATGTGATTTCAACGAGATTCCTTTTTATTTTCACGTGATTTATACACAACGCATTTTTCACATGTAATTTTTACACCTGATTTTCACATGACTTTTACATGATTAATTTTCGCATTATTTTTACACGACTAATTTTTCACATGATTTTTGCACATGATTAATTTATTTTCACAATCAACCATAACATGGAAAGTCCTACATAGTAGGTAAATGTACAGGGTGATTAAATGTTAATGTTAAAACTCCGGTTTTATAACTAACAACAGTGCACAAGTGGAGACTCTTTGAAGCAATGAAGTTGCATTTTTACAATCCTTCATTAGTAAAATATATATACACTACGTGACAATTGCACAGTTGTGTTCTAACAACAAGAGATTTCCTTATACATTTTTGTGTTTCCTCACTTTCACACAGGACTGTGACACCAGAAGACAAATCCTTTGCCCTGGGAATCCAGTTCATGCTCTTCAGAGTGCTTGGTTAGTGCCAAAAACTTCTCTTATGGGAACGGTCTATAGCAGCCAAGCTATTACCCGTAGCGAAAGCATATTAACTGTCAAAAAAAATTGCTTCAGTTACCTTTTTGCACTAAGATGCCTATCTTGTTTTGTTTTAATAGCAAGTTATGAAAGTTTGACAGTGATTAGAAAACCAGTTTAACCTGGTATCATTCAACACTTAAAGAACAGCATGAGAAAACAGCAGCTACGTGAATTCCATGTAGAGTACCATACATACAGTATGTCTTTAAAAATCATTTAGATTTAACACCAAGATATGGTGCATTTTTCACATTTTCACTTTGTTCAGAATGTTTGACTGTGAGACAGATCACCTTTGAGATAGCGATTTACTTAAAAGGTATCTTTTAGCAAGTGAATAAAGGAATAAAAGAATAATTATCTAATATTTCTCACTATGAGATTTTTATATAACAAATATAAGAGCATTAAACCTATTTCTAGACATGTTGACTAATTTCAAGCTTATACTTGTGTCTTATTCTGGGTCCCTGGAGGACTAGTGGTTAGGCCTTGGGGCTCTCACCGCCGGAGCCCAGGTTCGATTCCCGGCCAGGGAACCAACCCCAGCCACTGGGGTTGCACATGACAGATAGATAGATAAAATTGGGAAGGGTTTCCGTCAGGAATGGCATCCAGCATAAAAACTGCGCCAAATCCAAAATGCAGACCAATGATCTGCTGTGGCGAGCCCTAATGGGAGCAGCCGGAAGAAGAAGAAGAACAACTTGTGTCTTCAACTGGCAGATAATTTTGCTTCTTTCCAGAAATAAAACTTGGCTATATAGCAAAATTATCTTCTTCCAACAGAAGAAGACAAACTCAAACTTGAATTTCAAACTTGATTCAGGCTTAATAATCGTATATATATCTTTTTATCTAATAAAGAGAAATAATAGTTCAATTTGCATATTTTACTTACTATCTTTTTTTGTGAACTAAGTGTGAATAATATCAATAATATGTATGTTGAGTATAGAATAATGATATTGAATTTGTTTCCCTGACAGCGTTTCTCCCAGCACCTGTCCTGTATGGAAGCGCCATTGATTCGACTTGTATTCTGTGGGGGAAAAAGTGTAACAAGAACACTTCCTGTCAATACTACAACTTAGATTTTTTCAGACAACGGTAGGTCCATTTTCCTCTCCACGGTCATAAGGTGTCTTAGAGTGGACAAGCAGCAATGTTCAGACTTGAAAAACTAATATTCTTTATTAAATTTCAGATTTCTTGGACTTCAAATTTTTTTCGTGTTTGGAGGTCTGGTCTTTTTCTTTCTCTCCTTTTTGGTGCTGAAGAGAGCAGATTCTGCTGAGCGAATGAAATTGGAACAGATGAAGAGCAGTGCCGCAAGTGAGAAGCAGGACATGAAAGACTCGAAAAAGTTTCTGATCTACTCAAATGCACAAAATGACAAACTGATGTGAGGACAGGAATCTTGAGAGAGGAAAGGTGAGAAGTACTGAGGGATTTGCAACAAGGATTAGGAAGCATTAGGATCAAACCTAAATTTGAAAACAAATAAGAGTCTGTTCTAAATAGCCATCATCTGAGAGTCATAAAAACACAGATATTATATTCTTTTCCATCAAAAGTGAAAGCTCATCGCCACTGTTGTGCTGATGAAGCGTCTGCATGTGTGAACATACTCAATATGCTTACTGACTGTGAAGCCACTGTAGCTTTTTCTTCATTTGAGCCTTTAGTGAAACTGTGTTCTAATGAGAGCTTGTCCAGCAGATTTGTACTACATTAGTCTACTATGAAGGTGGCATTATGAAGATGGCATAAAGATGGACCAGGTGTGTCATTAGTGTCACAGTCTTGGTTGAGGTTTGGTATACCTGTTCTAAACTGCTTTTATCAGTTAAAAAAAAGAAAAGAAATGAAGGAGAGTTTGGTTGCAGTATGTTACTGGAGTGTTACTGATGAAAATACAAAGGGCATTAGAAAATCCTTTGGGAGGACAGTGCGGTTAACTCCTACCGGATTTAACACTTTTTCTGTACTCTAGGCTGGAAATGTAGAGAGCCTTACTGTGATTGGTGAAATGAGTTTTCTTCACATTTCTATCTTGTTTTAAAAATGCAGAAATGTAAACTTTCTTCTTAACATCATACATTGATCTACAATATAAAAGATTTTTTTTTAATGGTATAATATTCTAACAGTTTACTTGTACACTGAAATTATATTTGGTTTAGCTTTTCTATATGAATTTGTTACATTTGGATAACTGTTAAATATCAAGGCACATACATTTTAACTGTGACAAATGTTTCTTAAACACAAGCACAGAAATTCAGATTGACTGAGGAAAAAAAAACGTAAGTACACTCATGGAAATAGGAACACATGTACTCCTGCTCATTCATGCAATTATCCAATCATTCGATCATGTGACAGCAGCACAATGCATAAAATCATGCAGATACAGGTCAAGAGCTGAGGCTATAGTGGGCACAGGTTAACCAAAACTTTAGAAAAACATCGCCTGGTCTTCCTCCAGTCTTTCGTCTGGTCTGGTTTTGGTGAATCTGTGCCCACTGTAGCATCACATTCCTGTTCTTGGCTTATGGGACTGGAACCCGAAGTGGTCTTTTCCTGTTGTAGCCCATCCACCTCAAGATCTGACATGTTATGCATTGTTACATGCTTTTCTTCTTACCACGTTTGTAAAGAGTAGTTATTTGCATAACTATAGCCCCCCTGTAAGTGTGAACCAGTCTGGCCATTCTCCTCTGACCTCTCTCACCACAAGGTGTTTCTGCCTGCAGAAGTGCTGCTTACTAGATGTCTAGATGTTTTTATTTTTTTATTCACACCATTCTATGTAAACTCTAGAGACTATTATGAATAAAAATCTCAGGAGGTCAGCAGTTTCTGAAATACTCAGACTGGCACCATACCAAGCTCAAAGTGAAAAGTCTGAAGTCACTGAAAGCACATTTTTTCCCCATTCTGATGTTTGATGTGAACATTAACTGAAGCTCTTGAGCTGTATCTGCATGAGCATCACACTGCTGCCACATGATTGGCTGTTTGGATTGCATGAACTGAATGAGCAGGGGTACAGGTGTTTATATTAACATGGCGGGTGAGAATACTCTAACTCTAACACTAATTCAATATCATTGTCAACATGAAGTCGTGCTGCAATGTAATAACTGTAAGTTTAAATGTGAATTGTTTGGAGAAATGGTTAAATGTCATTGAATTTTTTAAATAATCAAGTGTGACACCTAAACATAATACAAATGTAATAGCTATTTTGACAAAATGTTGTTTCCACTGGCCTTCTTGCTGGTGTATTGTATTTCTGTGTGACTGTGTACATTTATAAAAAAGTCATATATAATCTTGACTGTTTAATCTTGTATTATTACACACATTTACTAACCCACTCACAGAGAGACAGATAAAAACCTATTGTTATCTTTCCACTATTTTTATGTTTATTTGCTTTTGTCCTCTTGTATCTGTCTCCATAACTGGGTAGCATTAGAAACCATTTAGCGACCATCTGTTACTGTGACAAAAATAAGCTGGTCTAGGGAGGATGGGGAGGAAAATAAGCTGGTCTAGGGAGGATGGGGAGCACATTTTTGTACAGGGGCATTGTTCCTTAATAAACATAAAATAATAATCATGACAATTTTGCATTTGCTGCAAAAGAAATACGTTCTTGTAAATCAGTTCTTTTTATGTCTGTTAAAAAATACAAAAAGAACTGATTTACAAAAACAAAAAAATCTGAAACTATAGTTTCTATTTTAAAAACTCATCATAATAAACTATGGTATGTACTAATATCACATCTCCTGCAGCATGTGATGTCATTTTCTCAGGACTGATGTGGCTGCAGGCCTTCATTCTAGCCAAATAGGAGGCATACTTGATGACTAATCGGAAAACAAGATGAACTAATTATCATCTTGCTCCCCACTGAGCCTTTGGCCTTCATTCTAGCCAAATAGGAGGCATACTTGATGACTAATTGGAAAACAAGATAATCAGTTTATCATCTTGATCTCCAATGAGTGTATCAAGTATGCTTCCTGTTTGGCTGAAGTGAAAGCCTGAAGCCACACCAGCCCTTTGTGGATAAGACTGAAGACTCCTGGCTTAGAATGTTTACCAAAACTACAACAGATTAGAAATCAACAAGAAATACATGGACTAGGCATAATGCTGTGATCTGTGGCAAGGAATTGTTGGCCCAAGAGCTCATAGAAAGTACAATGATGTACAACAACAGACTGTCGTGCATTCTGAGATGCTTTTCTGCTCACCACGGTTGTAAAAAGTGGTTATTTGAGTTACTGTAGTAACTCTGTGGTCTGGCCATTTTCCTCTGACCTCTCTCATCAAGAAGATGGGTTTTTTTTTTCACCCGTGGAACTGCCACGTATTAGATGCTTTTTTGTTTTGTTTTTCACACAATTCTGTGTAAACTATAGAGGCTGTTGTGAGTGAAAATCCCAGGAGATGAGCAATTTCTGAAATACTCAAACTGGCACCAACAAACATACCACGCACAAAATCACTGAGATCACATTTTTTCCCCCCATTCTGATGTTTGATGATTGTGTACCTTTATCAAAAGTCATGCATAATCTTGACTGTTTAATCCCGTATAATTACAGACATTTGCTAACCCATTCACTCAGACGGACAGATAAAACATCCTGTTATCATTCCAGCATTTTTGTGTTCATTTACCCTCTTCCTCTCAGACTTTCACCATAATTATGCTGCTTTCATGTCCTCCTTGTACGTTCATGTGTACGAGATTAGATGTGGTGATTACTGTACAGGGTGGCATTTTCAAGTGGTTTTGGTCTGAAAAGTGGATGGTGTGAGAAACCTTTTGTTTTTGTTCATTTATTGTATCATAAAGGACAAGAAGTTTAGTTAGACTTACTGAAAGAAAATAAAAAGAACTGAACCGTTAATGTGAAAAATTACCACTTAAATCTGACACGCCCACAACTCGGAGTGTCATTGCAAAATATGAGTTTCTGAGCTGTAATTACAACATTGCGGTGCCATTAAAGTCCGCTCACCTCGTAATTATAATATTTCTAATGGGATTTGATGGCAGCATTAGCTTGAGTAGTATTAGAAACCAATCAGCGTCCATCTATTACTGGGACAAAAATAAGCTGGTCTACAGAGGATAGAGAGGACATTTTTGCCATGGAGTCATTGTCATTGGGGTCAAGTACTTGTAAAACAGTTCATTTTATGTGAGTTTAAAAAAAGCAACTATATGCTGTCATTTGTTCATTCCAACCAAATAGGAGGCACACTTGATAGTAGCTTGAAGAACAAGATGAACTGATTAAACAAGTGAAATTACGTGTGGCTTTTTTAAAAAAAATCAGAACATCTCGATCTCCAAAACTGCACAGTTGAAGAATGGAAAAACATCATCTAATCTTTTTCCAATCTTCAACTGTCCAGTTTGGGTGAGCCCGTGTCTACTGTAGCCTCCGCTTCCTGTTCTTGGCTGAGAGGAACCTAGAAACCTAATGTGGTCTTCTGCTGGTGTAGC